TGTATTACTGACCATTGTTTTCCTCGAAGCCGGTTTAATCATGTAGAGTCCTCTTGAAAGGTTTGTAGCAGCACTCTTTTGGACAACTCTCGGCACACATACATCTATGAGCAGTAAACGGTGATCCGGGGATCCCGGGAAGGATTGATGAATGCCACGACCATTTTGTGTTTACAACAGTTGTTTTAGTTCCCACTCACGGGAAGATTGGGAACTAAAACAACTGTTGTAAACACAAAATGGTCGTGGCATTCATCAATCCTTCCTTGGATCTCCGGATCACTGTTTACTGTTCATACACATACATGTATGTGTGTCGAGAGTTGTCCAAAAGAGTGCTTCTACAAACCTTTCAAGAGGTCTCTACATGATTAAACAGCCTTGAGGAAAACAATGGTCAGTACTACAAAGAACATCGATGTGACCGTCACGCTCGACAGAGATGAGGAACATATAAATGTACCTTGTATACAAACCTACCGCTGGAAGGAAAAGCTGGCAGTTTTAATGCTACCTAGGTTTCAAGGATCGCTACAAAGGACCGAAACTCTAATCTTGAAGCCAGGTAAGAGATTTACGTGAATTTATTGGAGCACTTTACCAAGGCGAGTATGTTAGTTACTCATTGGAATAGTTTCAAAATTTCCCGAACTTTAAGCGGTCGTTAGTCTTGAAAACCCAGTGAGCAGGCAAATTTTATTATTGTTTTAAATTAAGGGCCATATATACTTTCTATTCATGTAGTTCAGCAGTTTCAAACAGGTGTCACATTTTTAAAACGTGCCCTCAAAGTAGAGCTATTTTCGTGTTTGGTTGGAAACTCGATTTAACGGGTAGAAAATCTTCTTTTAACCGTTGAAGGAACAACATTGAATTATAAGTGCAACATGGCTAAGCAAACTGCTACGATATATCTATAGTTGAAAAAAAGAATTGGGACTTTTGAGCGAATATTAATTTTTTTTAGAGCGCCGGCAATATGTGCTATTTTTCCAGTTTCAGCAGGCATGCAACTTGTGTCGAGCGGACCGAACTTCAATCAATCCTAGAAAACTTAAATTAGAATTTTTAATGAAATAAAACTCATTTTAGTGATTGACTAGGTAAGGGTTTCGAAATCCCAGCTATGAGAAAAATCGAACTTTCGAAGTAAAATCAGTGGTCGGTTTGTACAGAGACAGCCTGTTAAACGTTTGGTTTCCTGACCACGAGTTGATGTCGTTGGAACTTAAAAGAGATGACTTTAATCTTCCTATTTAAATTTCATTTTCTGAAAAACTTAATAAACGTTTTGAATAGCCAATTGCAAATCTATGAGCTTATATCGAAAAAGGATTTAAGGTAACTGTGATTTAATCGCGAGGCGCTACGTACCTCCACTGGACTGGAAAGGCACCCCTGAAGTACACGGTAACATTAGAGTCGTTACTTTTGGGATTTATTCACACATGTTAAATTACGTCACTACCTTTTCGCGGATTGTTAGGGGTGTGGGGGGGGGGGGTGGGGACGGGGGTGACGAGACTTTTCTAATTTCGCGGTAAAATTGATCATTTTGAATTCTTCATTCTTTAAGGTATTCCCAGGAAATA